TTCATCCAAAGGGCAATTTATCGACAGCTTGACCAAAAAAACAGGGGTGTCCTATCCATGTGGCGCGCACTGTACAAAATCAACGACGTGATGGGCAGACATGCATCAACGAGGACGGTGCAGGAAAAGCTCGAGCAGCGCCGACTAAGATGCAAACTAAACCAGCGGAGATATCGAGCCAACTTGCGTGTGACCAATGCCCAACGCCGAGCAGACATGGACGAGCTGGACCGTGTGAATCAGCGCTTGGATCGACACATCGACACGATCGAACGAACGGGGCTTTGGTGTCACGCTGAAGAGCTCTCCGTCATCGAGTACTTTCGACTGTTTGAGTACGGGTACACGGGAACGCAGCGCCAGGACTCCTTCCTGCGATACTTTGTCGAGCCCAACGGATGGTGCAATGGAAATGTACGTATACCGCCCACGACGTCCAGGGTCTTGCCGGCTGAACCTCATGCTATAAAATGCGTAGCGAGGCGTGGATGCCGTGACACTCGTATGGACATCGTACGGCACGTCGTTTTCGTCCGTCCACATTAAACACGTGAAAGTGACGCACTCGAGCCATGCTCAAGACGGTGCGATGGTCAACATCGAATGTGTGGCTGAGCTCGGCATGTCCACACAGGCCATACAAGCCATGTTTCCTCGGGTATTGTCGCGGCAAGACCTTGTCGACAAGATGCTGTGTACCCCGTTCGTGCTTCCGCTGCATGCGTCCTTTGTCTTTGACGACAACAAGCAAACCACTTGGATAACCACGACCGCCAACGTCGTCCACGCGCTCTTCTATCAGTTTGGCAACTTGAACGATGTTGTCGTTGCGGCGACCAACACGGCCATCCAACCCGACGCCATGATCCGACGGATCCGTGATTCCTGCAGACGAAATTAATGTTGAGACTGCGTTCGACGAGTCAGTCCATCTGCGAGGCATCTTGTGACGGGTTGGATTACATGCCGATAGATTGTTGCAGCAACATGCAGAGGTACGTCTCGCAGCCCTCCATTCAACACGCGTTGAACACAGCTCACGGCTTGCTCAGCCAAGTCCAATTTCCCCAATACATTGAAAGTTGGAGCAATCATGTTGACCAAGGTACATCTCGTGTGAGATGCCAGGTGCATCTCGCCGCCCAAGAATTCGACGTCGAGGGGAGAGAGTCTGTCTACTTACAAAACTGTGTCTGGTTTGCAGAATTGCACGGTGCCTGAAGAAAGGTTGGGAGGCTTCAGATGTGGACCCACAACGAATTGTTGCATTTGAATTAAGGCTGCGAGAGCTTCGCTTCCAGGATACAATTGTTCGTGTGCGTTTTGATGTTTGGCGGGGGACGGGAGGCCGCCTCTATTATCGCAGTCGTACGAATTCCGTGCATCACAACCGACGCAACGTCCACGGAAGCCATTCCAGCCATGCGCCAATTTTACATGGCTTGGACCACATCCCTTGCATGATTCGAAACGGTGTCGAAAATGCCCTTGGCTACCGAATGCTCCTGACGTCACGCAGGTGCTTGTCTCCGCACGTCGACGCCATGGCCACCAACCACAACACGAGCACTATCGCAGGTGACGCAATGCCATCCAGTGCAAATACCGCGCGCAATCGAAGATTACCGACATCCGACGGCCTTGAGCAACTTCGTCGGGTGAACCAACTCTTGGAACGCCACGTCGTTGCCATCGAACGGTGCGAGCTGTGGCGTCAAGCACTGCTGGCAAACCATCGCCGGTCGCGATCATGCGCTTCATGTAGCGCCTGACGGGAGGTAGAGCGGCCATGCAAGCAAAATTGCCCAACGTAATGCACAGTTGTAAAGGGCTCCACAGGGGCATCGAAAGTATCAAAACCCTCTGCAAGTTGACGTCGCGATGCCAATGGCGACCATGCAGGCTCTATTTCCTGACCGGCCTCTGGTTGTGGACAAAATGCTGCGCAATTCGTCGATTCTTCCATCACACAGCACGTGTGCGTTTTACGACAACAAGAAAGTCGGTAGCAAGCGTGCGATGCATTGTTCCGCCAGTTGGGCAACTAGGACGATGTCGCGGTGGCTGCGTCCAACATAGGCGCAATGTTGCGAACCGGGAGTTGTGAGAATGCCGACATGAATCCATCCATCGATCACAATGGCGAATCACGTTGCATTTCAGCGGCGAAAGTAGGCGTGAACTCAACTATACACACGCAAACGGTCACTCGCGGCCACTTCACGGCCGTGCATGCGTGATAGAAGGCAGATCCATTGCGTCGGTCGAAGCGCCCCAAGGCACTGCGCCACCATGGAGTTGTAGGTCCACAAGAGACATGCGTTCCTTGCGACCTGGTATTCGCACACGACACTCCCGTCTTGTCACGTCCATTTCATGTCAAAAACGAGTAACTACCTTTATAACTCAGTACCAAACGCCATTCACTCTGGGTACGAACCAGCACGTCAAAGTAAATGCTCGGGAAAGACTTCACAGAGAAGGTGGGTCATGACCGCCGTCGTCGATCGTGTCACTCGTGACCTCGCGTCCAACACGCCATTGTCATGTCGCTCTACACTCAGGTGCTCGACGACTCGATCTTCACGGGCGAAAACCTCTTTCAGATGTGGAATGCGGCGGGTTTTTCGACCAACCTCACCTCGTGTAACATTCAAACTTGGTCAACTGCACGTGGGCGTAGCACACCATCGCAATACCCCCTTCCAAAAGCGAGGTCAATGGTCGCTATTGCGATAGCCATGGCATTGCCCCCCCAATTTCTTTCAACCCGGTCCTTGAGCCAAATTTCAGTAAAACGAAATTCATGTACTACCTCTGTTTTTGAACTATTGCGAGCGGAAGTTCAATAACGTTAGTATAGTAAGATTAAGACGACAGAATCTTAATAAAATAGATTAATCGTTTATCCGCATGTGGCCCAACAAGTCTGCAACCTCTTCTAATCTTTCCTCTTCCTCAAGCCTCGTGGACATCATATCTAATGCCATCTCGTCCTCACAGCTC